AGTTTGCAGGTTCTCCGACCAAGCGGATCTGACCCCTTTGACTTTTCCTACAGACAATATGGATAGCTTTGCTGGACCCTTCCTGGCTAGTCTTTGGCATGCACCAAGAAGTGCCTCTACACTTTGTTCCCGCACCTCGCATGGATCCGTTTTGGCTTGCATCGTGGAATTTGATATATAAATCAAATCAGCCCAACTCCTACAGCACCATTACCATCACCCGAACTCCTTTTGCACCTGCTCAACCATCCATTTCCTACATTCAACAAACTCATATCATTAGATTCTCAACGCAGGCGTGCTTGTCTCATACCGGGTGGGGAGATTTGAAGCCCAAATGCACCTGCGACATGTTTAGGTTCGGGTGTATACCATCGTCCCCAATCGCCCCAGGCCAAGCTCACCGAGCACCACCGACCTTCACTTTGCAGGACGGTAAGCCTAAGAATCTTCAAAGGCAAACGACAGTGAGCAACCTAGTTTACTGTGATAGTTTTACTGTACTCGCTTCATATGTTTGCTTGGTGGATATGGAGCCATGCGGTCTTTCGTCTTTCGTTTCCTCCTCACAGCATCCAGCCTCCAGCTCCGACGGAGGAGCTAGCGAAGCCTGCGAAGAAAGGACGAAGTGCCAAGGTCTTCTCTGGAAAGGCGTGGGGGGCAGCGAGTGTGACAGCAAGAACCAGTCCGCGAGTGTGAATCAACACCTTGCCAATAACTTTTTCACGTGCGGACTGATGTGGCTAGATGAATTACTGGCTTAAGTTACCCACTTTCCAGAAAGTACAACCAATGCCAAGACTGCAAGTGGCAAGCATCCAATGAGTATGTACAGTGTTCCGAGGCCGAGTTGCCGCAGGAAAGGGATGAGCATCCGGATCATCTCGAGCCGGAACAGCAAGGGCTGTCTGCCAGTTCAGAAATGCCCCAAGGCCAGCCATGTTTAGCGCGAGAAGGAAAGCAGGTTGTCGATGGAGTTCTATTGTTCTCTGAAAGAGAATGAAGTCCCAACTGAAGAGCAAGGACGCTGGCCTTACTACTAGTAGCAAATAGCTACTAGGAGCAAAGGGCATCGCTACTATTGAAGACTTGGCAACGAAGTGGAGAGGCCTTGTGATTCTCGAAGTGCCTGAGGTGTTTTCCATCGTCCCATGGAGCATGATGCTCCGCATGCTCCGCTTGAGCGCCCGATGGAGCGTCCAATGGATCGCCGGCAAGAAGGCAAGTCACGTAGCTCGTGGAGTGCGCCCCGTTTCCATGGTTAAATGAAAAGTTGCTAGGTCTCTGGGAGGAGCATTCCAGACCTGTGCGACAAGGCAAGTGTTTTAATTCTGTTGAATTCTTGTTTCGAATAGCAAACATTGCTCCTAGTAGTACGGTCAGAAGCCCCTAGTAGCTTCTTGTTACTAGCGATGCCAGGAGCCCCTAGTAGCGTCCTTGCTCCTACCCCTTTGATAGAGCAAGATGCGCTCGGGCACATCTGGGCATGCTCCATATGCTCCATATCATTTGTCCCTTGACGTCAGGTCAGAGAGAATGGGACCGCCCAAGAGGAAAGCGTGAAGGTGGGCTTCGTGTGAATTTGGGTTGGATGCCACGTTGTTTTGAAGATTCTGGAGTCTTCAATCAAGAAAAGAACAACAGTAAAGATGTACATCAAGCAGAGATGCATCTGCCAGAATCTCTACCACTGTCCTAAAACTCTCACACCATCTCACACCCATTATTAGAGGCTACCTCAATAGCCAGTGACTACACCGACAGACTGTTTTCTTCCTCGACCTCTCTGACGCCTGATGGAGGCCAACCATTTGAGATGGATCGGCCAAGGCAGCGGCGTGGCGAAGGACTGGATTAGTCGTCCTTTAAGCGGGTTTAAGCAAACCAGAACCATGCAAAACTTTCCAAAACTTTCTTTTCATGCAAAACCCGCACCGAAAAGGAAGTTCCCTGAGCCCGCACCGACATGCCAATCTTCTGAGGACGCGACGTGCGGCCTGAGCGGCGAGAGCGTGTACCACGGACAGAGCCGGGTGGCCCCAGAGACTTTGGAGACCTGTCAAACGAGTTGGTGCAAACAGTGGGTCCCTCCCCAATAAACTGGTTTGCAACTTTTGCTTTTTGGCGACACCCATTCAGGAATGTGCTGAACTAGGCGTTGTTTGTTGTTTCAGAGTGTTGGGCTGGCGCGGGCCTTTGCTGAATCTAGTCAAATGATCAAATGATCCTCCGTGTTCAACAGTATCAGTATATATTTTCCAGCAGTTTTTGACCGTTGGGACTATAGACTGATTAGACTGCATCACAAAGAACCTGCTACGTACTCCCATGGCAAGCGGATAGTGAACACGTGCTCCTCAGGATCCGCTTGGAGAAGCGCGACGATGGAAGCCGGCGAGATCGAGATGAAAAGGATGCTGCGGCAGAGGTGGGGTCTGGACTGGCCAAAACGGGAAAGCTTGACTGGTTGAATCGTTCAAAGTTGCAATTCTTTGTGATGGACGGTTCACAAGATTTCAATAGCATTTGGCGCTGGTGATGTGGACTTTGAAGCAACACCAATATGCAGCACCTTTCCACTTGTACGAGTGAGCTTTTGTTCATTTGCACCAGGCATCACCTACCCACGATCAGGTTGGGCTATTCGTGTTTGACATGTCAAGATCATGTCAGCCAGCATGGCCCACTTCTTCCAAGGAGGAGGACGAGGTCAAGGCGACCTTCAAGATCGATCCACAGGCGATTTGCCGAGTCTATGTTGGCTATTGGGATCGCATCAAAGAGTTCAGTGACACACTCTTTTTTCATGTCTCTCTCTCTCTATACAGTATATAATCAGTATATATATATATTATATACGGTTACTGGTATGTGTGTATGCATATAGATAAAGGAGTTGACCCCCCCCGCAACCCCCTCTAGTCCATATCGGTGATATCTGATATCAGTTCTCTTTGCTTTCCGCTCTGCAGAAACCTGTCCGCATCCTTCAGAAGTCGCCTGAAGAGAAGGCCAAGGAAAAGGCCAGTCTTGACTTGCAGTGGCCAAATCCAACCAAAGCAAGACTTGTTACTTCTTTGAACTTCTTGTTTCTGCAGGCGCAAGAGCAAGCGACACGAAGAGATGCAGAACATATCGAGGTCCTAGCCACTATCACTAGAGTTAGCGCCAGTTTGTTCCACTCCAACGCAATCCTTTGCAGTAGCATGAGTCAGACTCACAAAGAGGTTTTACAGCTGCAAGATTGGCGCTGCGAAACCATTCCATCTCTTCAATTCTGTGAGGAGAGCACTTCAATCCCATGCACAGCACAATCAAACCGTACGACAGACCTTGAAGGTGACACACACACACACACGCCATTCATGAATGAAGCAACTCAAAACTGGCCGAGTGACTTGGCTGACCATTTCTAGGTCTCTGTGGGCAAGGGCAAATCGGCAAAGGGTGGCAAGTCCATGCCTTAGCATCTTGGGGGCAGTGCATTCGAAGTTTTGAGAGAAGTGATGAGTAGACGTCTTTTTCTTTATTTTATGCTCTGATTGTATGGCATATTATATTGTGTGCGCTTTGTAACCACTTCTTCCCAGGACCCAAAAGGGAAAAGCAAAGGGCCGTGGACGTGGGCCGCGGGTGCTTGGCGAGGTGGGCAGTTGGAGATGTGAACAATTGGGAATAGCGAGAAAACACAGCGGTAGGCAGGCCTGGCATGAAATCTCCTCTTGAAAATCTCGGATGCATTTAGTCCTGTTCTGGCTAGTCGGCTAGTACGGGGGGGTGAACAGCGTTCTCATCAGGCAGGGATGTTGGTTATGTTTGGCAAGGAAGATCAAATCAATTCCCTCACTCCATTCAGCTAGGGATGGCTTGTGGCAGGATTCAGATGTGGAATGGTCAGAAGCTTCTGATTCCGAGGAGGAGTGGGCACTTGCATGTGAACATTCTGATTTTGCTATTTCCAGTCAAGAAACAGGAGAAGCAGAAAGAAGGTGCGGAGTCAGCTTTTTCAAGGCTAATTTGCAAGTTGATGGTTGCATGACTTGTTTTCGAGTTGTTTTTTGGGTGCTTCTGTGGCTTAGGCTTGGGTGAGCTTGTTTTGTATGTTCCTGTTTGCCAACAGCTTGCCTTTGCTTTCAAGTTCCAAGGAATAGCTTGTTGCGACTACTCCCATCCAAGCAACGCCTCAGTCAGGTAGGCAGACTTAGTCCGAATGCAGTGAGGTCCATCGGCGGAGGTCGTCCTCGTCTCCTCAGAGGACGGACTTTCACAGTTTGCAGAGCTTTGCCAGACGGAGATGAATACAGAGTCCTGGTACTCCTTGTGACATGGGTTGCTAAGCAAGGATGCTACTAGGGAGGAACAAGAAGCTACTAGAGGCTCCTGGCATCGCTACTAGGAGCAAGGACACTACTAGGGGCTCCTGGCCTTACATGGGTTGCTAGGAAGAGTCCGAAGAAGCGGTCTCCTATCCAAAGGCCGCTTGGATGACTTGTGAGGTTACCACTATGAGCGCGGGGGGTGAAGCTCAAGACTGAGCAGTTGTCTTTCCGAACAGTCTTTGCTGCAGGGCAAGGCGAAGGGTAAGGGCAAGAACAAAGGCAAAGACAAAAAGGGCTCCGGCAAGAAAGGCGGGCGCTTTGCAGATCACATATTGCAAGCTAGGGCCGCTCGGGTAAAACGTGGGCCTTCTTTCAGGATGGGTCCGTGTGGAGCGGGAGGAAAAGAAACAAGAGGTGGACGAGGAGGCAGTGGAAGATCGAAGTTTCTAGCCTTACATCCTGATGTTATTTTAGCCTGGATAATATGCCGGATCTTTGAGACAAACCGCCTTTGAGGACCAGGGGGGTTGACGAGAGGAAGGAGATTGAGGCTTGGTTGTCATGGCAGTCTCCCTAATAGCGATGGCCCGATGGCCTCCAACCTAAGCTATTAGGTTTGAGTTGCTTTGGAGAAGGCCTTCTGCTATGTACCAGGCACGCTTGAAGGACTCCCGCAAAGTCATGGAGCCAACGCCTCAGCCAAGATCAACGCGTGAAAAGCAGTTGCTGGGCAAAGCCAAATTTCCTTTGCTCGTTCACGGAATGCTCGTCTGAGCCTAGAAAGAAGCCCATAGGTGTATTGCCACTTAACCACCAAAAACAAGAGGTTTGCCTTTAATTTGAGGAGACCACACAGCCATTGAGAACAGCACGCCTTGCAAGGGCACTTCCCGCCAGCTGTGCAACTCAACCTGTAGTTGCCGGGTTTGTTTAATGAACAAGGGTGCAGAAACACACAAACTTGAGGAACGAAACAAAGCTGATGCATCCAAGAGCTTCCCAAGTGCTAGGCGCTAGGCTTGTGCATTCTGCAGATTGTTTCAGGTCACGTGCTTTGGCAAGGGCCGAAGCTGACCGACAGCGCCGGCTGCTACGGGAGAAGGTGGAATGATTGGCAGGGAAGTGGATGGAGTGTATGGATGATGGCATGGGTTGAAGGACCGTAGACTACTGCTAGACAGAGGTGTTTGAGTTCCAAGAGACCAGTCGAAACGTCGTTTTATGTCACGGGGAAGGAACCAAAGGTTTGAGAGTTTGCATGGAAGACTGGATGTTGCTAGTAGCGCCCTTGTTACTGGAGGGGCCATTCGTGTTCTCGGGGGCACGGCCCGGGCACGTGTCGACGCATATGAGTGTTGCAAGACGAGGCTGCAGCTCCTGAGCCTGAAAAGTTTGAGACGCCCGAGTCCAGCCCACCTGGCACGCCCAAGGCCAATTGTTGCTGAAAAATCGAAGAAATGGAGAGTTAGATTGTAGTCATTAGGTTGGAGGCCATCGCTAGTAGGTTGAAGCATGGCTAGTAGGACTGAGGCCACAAAGTAGGATTGAGCAAGAGAGAATTCAACCATGGCAGGAAGAATCTGTGGAAGATCCTCAGGAAGAGTTCCAAGAGATGGAGGAGACTCCTGAAGAGATTCAAAAGCCCGACGAGGTGTCGGTGCAAGATGAGATGCCCCAAGAGGATCTGAACGAAGAGGATGATGAGCCAGAGCAACAGGAGGAAGAAGGCTGGTCTGGTCTGCAAAGCAAGACCGTACATAGGGCATTACTAGTAGCTCGTGGCATTACTATGTAAGTAACAAAGGGCATCGCTACTAGGAGCAAGAATTTGAGGAAGCCTTACAGTCAAACAGCAGGAGTTTGTTGCTCGCTGTGAGTGCTTTGTGTTCAGCGACGCCACCCATGTCGTACACCAAATCAGGTGACGCCGGATCGCCTATCTCCAAAGAGGAGGCAGAGGCGGAAGAGGCGGAAGAGGCAGAAGAGGTGGAAGAGGCGGCAGACGAAGATGAAGATGATGAGGTTGCCTCCTGAGCAGTTCTCGCAAAGATGATCAAGACTATGGATTTGGCACCAAGGAGCTACCAATGACAAAAGGAAGAATTAGCCAGGAGGTGTGGGAGAAAATGAACTGGAACCAGTGGATATCTTTCTGCCAGATGCTGGTCTCTAGTCTATGCTGCAGTCTGACTATGTCACTATCTTGCATTGTTTTCCCACCATCCCTGCGGTCTGTTTGTCTCCATCTTCCTTAATTGTGACTTGTCACTGTTACACATTCCCTCCAGCCGTCCATTCACCACTCTCAGGCGATGGGACGGCTCAACCCCGTTGCAGATACAGGGCTTGCGTTGGGCATTGGCATGGTCTATCACTCAGCAGTTGGCCCTGGGCGCATGAGTGATTTGCATCTTTCCTTTGTCAGGTTGCCGTGCAGGGAGAGGAGCAAGAGGCTCCCGAGTTTCCGTTACAAACCTGGCAAAAAGAGGATTTGTGCCTCAAGATCAACATTACAGTAAGTTGAAGATTGCAGTCTTTGCTGTAATTATATATAATGGTATCTTGATGTTCAAAGTCAAATTAACATCTCAAGTTCTATTCTGTTTGAAGCTCAACGAAATCAAAGTCTGGAGATCCAGGTCGACTCTGACGACCTCCTGGACTTTGAGACTGTGTGCTGCTCAAGACATGATGACGAAAGCCTCAGAGAAAAGTCCATCAAGACTTTGACGAACTTGCCAAATAAGTGGATGAGATATGATGAGACGAGGTCAAGAACAAGACTGAGCGCAAGGCAGAGAAGCAAACCCAGCGCCGGGTGAAGGAGGCCACGGATTCGGCGGTTCTTCATGGGCACTCCGATCGAAATCGATACCTATCAGCGCTATGGAAGCAGCAGGTGGGTCAGCACATGATTTGTGAATAAGTTGTGTTCTCCATAGTCCAGAGATGTTCAGATTGCCCCCAAGCTTGGTTGAGCATGTCTTGAAGAGGTTGTGGGTAGATATAAATATAGGCTTCTGTAAGGTAAAATCACAGGTCACTTCATGGCCAGCTGTTCTGAACGTCGGCCCTAATCGCTAGCTTTCTCCAGTCTCAATGATGCGACCTGTGCATGGGCGTAGACTGCAACTTGCAGTAGTGCACAATGTATCAGGGATGGTCCAAGAGGGTTTACCTTCATGCCAGCCATAAAGGAAACATCCTCCACTGCGTGGTCATGCAAGTTGCGTGAAGAATTTACGCCTTTGCGTGTCAAGCTTCAGCTCTTTTTTGAGTAGTCCAGGAGCATGCCTCGCGAGCAGCTATTCGCAAAGAGGCACAAAGACAGCGTGAGCTACGTGCCAAGGATGGGATTTCTGGCAAAGTTTTAATTGGCACGACTTCACCACTTGCAAGTTGCTGCCAGGAGCAGCGTGAGTCCAAGGAGCAGGTTGGCGCGTTTTTTGCAGTTGATCGATTTTTAATGAACCCACAAAGCTGCCATTCTTGGGAATGACTCCATCCTTTCGGCCTTTTCAAGGCCGAGGCCGCAGCCGCAGCGAGCGAGGCTGCCAAGCCCAAGGCGAGTGCAATTGTAGCAGACTGTAAGTCTTTGGCATGTTTGAAGGCTTCCCTGTTTGACTGATGTGAATAATGTGTCACAAATCTGTGCACACCTCGAGTTGGGTGTTGAGTAAGCTCTTTTGAGCTGTTAAAGCTTTGCTGTCAGGCAGCTGCACCCAAGCACGAGATGATCAAGCTGTCAGATTTGAGGCAGCTAGGCTGTGAGATTTAAGAGAATATATAGCCCCCCCCCACTCACAGATTTAGTCTTCGCATGTCTGTTTATCCAGAAGATTGCCCCGTCCACCCTAAAACGACAAGGGATAAAACAGAACAAAGCTCTGCACATGGATGATCCTTCATGTGTGTCTCATCTCAGGTTCGTCTCCCCCATAAAGACAACCAGGAGTGTTTGTATGGCAGAATCGTTCTTTATGCATAGAAACTGATGTTTGTACCAGGCACGGAAACGAGAACCCAATGAGAAATAACATTGCATTAAACAGAACGATACCGCAGCGAGCCTAAGGCACCTTCCAGTACACTGTTGCACAATGGCACACACACACATATATATATATATATATACCAGCTGTGCTAGTCTGGAATGAACTGCGCGCCATTCTTGCAAGTTCCACACAGCACAAATCCGTGCATTGCACGCGAATGTGCACGACAGATGTTGCAGCTCGTCAAACCATGGTTCACCGATAAGGAGGAAACACATGATGAGGCCAAAAGCGGTGTAGGGACTGGTAGAGGTTCTTGTTTGACAATCTCGCTTGGAGAAGTGAGACGAGTGCAAGCATTCTCGCCACGAGTAGCAATTGCGGTTTTATATGTTTAAGAGACCAGGGCATGAGGTCTTGTGCATAAGAAGCCTCCCTGCAAGAAGTTCTAAAAGCCAAGCTGCGACTGGTTCGAGGGTGAAGGTTTGTCGGAACGTATCTAGGCGAAGCCAAATGGAAGAAGAAACTTTGGATGATGTCAGCGTAACGCCGGCATGGTTTAAAGTGGACTGGTTAAGATTTGCCAGCGACGTGCCGAAGCGACGTGCCGAAGAAGCGACTGGACTTTGGAGACCCAAACCGCCACCCACTTCTGCCCAAGCCGTCCCAGGCTGTACAGGGTCGAGTTAAGATAAAGAGGCAGTTTATAGAGATTTGCTGAGCCTGTTTGAACACCTGGCTTAAGAACATGTCATTGTCTTGGGCTTGGAGTCAAGGTGCATGGTATGTGGTGGACTATGCCAAAACAGGCCGGTCGACATGCAAGGAGTTCCGATGCAAGAAGGCCATTGCAGAAGGAGAGCTGCGCATCGGGATCGAAGCTCCAGAGGATGATCATCGAGGAAGCCAGTTAGGTTGGTACCATCCACCTTGTTTGTGGAAGACCTTCTCGTTTCAGAAAAATGCCAACAAGAAGATTGAATCTACGGAGGACATCAAGAATTTCCATCACCTTCGGAACGAAGATAGAGAGTTGATCGAATCGCTACTGGAAGGAAAGACCGTTGAGAGTCCCAAGGGAGCACCTTCGAGTTCCTTGCGGAAAAAGATCATCACCAAAGTTGAAGGCAACACGATGACTCTCACGGGTCCAACCTTCCAATTCAAAGAGGACTTGAAGAAGCTTGGAGCCAAATTCAATGGTGAATTGAAGGCCTGGATCATCACTAAGAAGGACAATGATACCTTTGAACACGTGGAGAAGTTCCTTGCTGGGGATGATGACGAATCTGTTGTCAAGAGGCCTGCGAAACGGCAACGGACATAGGCCGCGCGACAGAGCGCTTGGTGCTGGTGATGCAAGAGTCGAGGGGAACGCAGAGACCCAGGTGCAGCTCCAAAATGGCACGCGAACGGGTGAAGATTCTGACCAATCTTTCGCCAACGGGACTTTCATCGATCCAGATTGACACAGATCGACTCAGATTCAGACGGACTACATCTCAGCAGGGTACGCGGCACGAGTCTATCGGCAACAAAAGCTGCGCTTGGTGGATTGTTGCTGATTGTTAGTTGGCAAGAAGGTAGAAATACTCGTACCAAGAAGCTACTAGGTGGAGGCCATCGCTATTAGGTTGGAGGCCATCGCTACTAGTAACAAGAACTCTTGCGTGTGGGCCTAAATTCTAAAACTCTGGTCATTCCAATGTCCAGTTTTTTTCAATGGCAGGCTCCGATCTATGAGGTGCGCCGGAGTTGTATTTGCACTTGAGCTGCACCCACGGGCTGACAAATTATATAATTGTACATGAGTATATATAATACTATATACACACATCCATGACGCACCTGCCATCAGTCAGAAACTGTTGAAATCTGGAGCATGAGTGAGAGGTGCAGACAAACATGATCTACGAGGTCGGCCAGAAGCAGATCAACGACCCTTGGGGGTATGACACGGACAGAAAGGCTGTTTTGGATACTTCGTGATTCAGTGAGTCCCTGACCTGCAGGTCCAGGCACCACCATGCTATGAGGCCTGTATTGCAGACATACTCTAGCTATCTTTGGCTTGGTCAGGAATCTGAAGGCTGTGAGCTACTGGTCAAGAAGATTCCAGCGGAAGCAATCTTGTATATGAATACCCAGGGATACCTATGAATACCAGTGGGTCGCGTCGCCGCTACCGCTACCTAAGCCAGGCCCCATACCCAACTGGGCCTCCACCGGCGTACAAGCCGCCAGATGTGAGCCGATCTCTCAGTCTGAGGGCCATTGACATCTCACACATCCCTCAGCACGTTCCTCTCAACGCAGGACACTTGGTGGTCGCCATTTTGAAAGCGGATACCAAGCCCGCGCAAAAGCCCATCGTGCATACAGGCGACATGGTTGCTTTTTGCAGCACTGGCACTTTTTGTTTCAACAACAGAGAAAAACAAGGTGCACAAAAGCACAGGGGGCCTGAGTCCTTTCCTTATAACAAAGCACAGGTCCGGTCACCACGTCGGTGCAAGACTACAGCACAGGCTACGAAGGCCAGACAATAGTGAGACACTTTCATTCCTGGTCTTCACGGCAATTTTGTGAAACCATTTTGTTGATTGCAATGCCATTGATGCATTGCTGCTCGTTGTTCGGTCGATAGTTCATTTCTCGGGCCCTGTGCTTGTGCAGCTTTTTCCGCTAGCAATATGACCACTAGATATCCCACACACTCCAAAGCAGCTGCCAACCAGATATAGCTTGACTTGGGATGATATCTTTTTTACACGATCCTAGACGTTTGACATGGAAGAAGGATCAAAAGGACCTTTCTTCGGATGCATCGACCTTGGAGAAGCCTTTGGCCTGAGTCATCCACCTACAAATCCAAGAAGCCTTTTGCGCCAAGCGACTTGTGCAAGAATCCAAGAGCCATGGGTAAACGCGCGTCACAAGCGCCGCTTAAACGCACGGGGCCAAAGAGTTCGGCCGTCTTTACTCACTGTAGTTTTAAGCATGCTTGCCAAAGCTTTTCCTGTTGTTCATAGCAACTGTCCGGTCTCTAATTGTGAATACACTTTGCATTTCCTTTGCAAAAGCCCTTTTCTTTTTCCTCTTTCTATCTTTGTCTCTGTCTGTCTCTCTCTCTCTCTCTGACCATCAGTCGATCCAGCCACGACCTGAGGTGCCCGAAATGTGGCTAAGACCAGTGGAGCTAAAAGGTGCCTTCGGCATGAAGACAATTCTCTTTGTCTTTTGTAGCTTGGAAGATGTGCACATCTCTTCAGAGGAGTGTTGTATTTCCAAGGAAAAATAGCGACTGGAAGAACGACCTATCGCTGATCAAGCGGCTCAGGTCCAGGAGAGAACGACAGCATTTTTTGAGATGCTTTTAAACATATATGTCACATTTTATTTGTCCAAAGGTATGAATCTCTACCTTGACCTTGCCTATCCAGGAGGGAGGCACCTGTAGACTCGATCGGCTGTGAGAGACTTGCAGATCCAAAAGCTTGTAAGGTGGGCTTTGTGAAGTTGCAACAGCTCAGGGGTGTGAGTGGACTTAAAGAAAGCAAAGGCCGGCAAAGGCCACAGATGAACTTTGTCGAATTAAGCGGGGGACAAGTGTAAGCTGCTCCAAGAGCAGAAGCACTTTGTGAATCTCTCCCAGAAAGCCCTCTCAACGGTCTGTCCTTTGGCTGACAAGGCGGACTTTGAATGGCAATGCCTCGGTCTGAGATGCTAAGACTTTAAGGGCGCAATTTTCACGATGATCAGGGATGAGCAACGGGTTTGCTTTCATGTAGCCTCAGAAGCCACGCAAGTGCAAACATCGTATAGACCTGCACTTTCAACGGACTGTGACATGCATATGGTGCGTGCAGCATTCTGTCCAGGTTTAGTGGCAGCCATGCTCTCCTCACAAACACGTGACCAAGCGACCGCGGAGGTGGAGCTTCTTTTTTGCCAGACGTCTCATACATCTGTCAAGACCCAGTAGGAGGTGTTGGACTGTTGAGTGAGACATGCTGACGGACACATGAGGACCCTTGACGAACAACGGATATCCAAACGACATGAGCCGACGAGTAGACCGTTTGGAACCACGAAGCGCAACGTCACATGCTTGAGGCAATGGAAGCCTTGCACCGGGCTGGACTGAAGAGCATCAGTACTGTGGCCAAAGCAAAGGAGAAGACCTTGGCAAAGCTGATCAAACCTGTCGGCTTCTTCAACATGAAGGCCCAGATCAGGTTGATCATTGTAAAGCGGAGGCGGTGGAGGCTTTTCAGATTGGTAACTTGAGATTCGTCCAGGCTAAGACCATGAGAGCCGCCGCAACGTTAGAGCCTCAGAACGAGGCAATGTGAAAGAGAGAGAGAGAGAGAGAGAGACAGAGAGAGACTGGCACAGACTCAGATAGCTAGCCAGGTAGGTAGATAGATAGACAGGCTGGTGAGGCGGAGGTGAGGCAGACTCTAAATAGCTTGGTAGTTAGCTTGAGTGCCCATGGCACAAGGATTTGCAAAAAGGAGCACAAGGGCCGCATTCCCAGAACTTTGGAGGAGCGTGTCGCCAAGATACCGTTTAGATTGGTCAGTCTAGGCCTAGGCGGTGTATCAAAGCACTTCGTTTCTTGAAGATCTTCATTCTTTGGTCACTTCGTTTCTTACGACACTGCCCGAACGGTGCCAAAGACGCCAGGGGCTCTTGAAGCTGCCGGGGATCGGCCCAAAGATGGCGCGCAGGGACCGGGGTAGACCGACAGGGAACACCAAAAGAAGATTGACCAACAGGGAGCACCTAGGAACAAGAAGCCACTAGGGGCTCCTAGGGACAGGGAACACCGACAGGGTAACGGAGTCGCTCCGGTGCCATTTGTGGTCTTATCGCATGCAGCTCACGGGAATTAACAATTTATGGCGTGGAATCGTCATGAATCATCGAACAGTTTCAACCTTTGATTCTAGAATCATTGTTGTTGAATCGGGTCGAGTCCTGAAAGATCCTTTCAAAGTCTTGCTGTGCAAGTTATTTGAGCTTGGTCATCATTGTCGATGGCTTGCAGCGCTTCGCAGCGGCAGGCCCATTTGATCATGCACAGTGCCTTTGATCGCCAGCAGGGTATTTGTGCACCTACTCAGCCCACCAGACGAACGTTGATCACAACAATTTCCGCTGCAACGTGAGTGGAATGACCAGACTTTGCAGGGTTTGGTAGACAATCAATGATTCAACAAAACCAGAGCGCTTCACATGTTCTTTTTTTTGTGGCTTTGATTCTTCGTCAGAACCAAACATCCTCTTGATGTTCGGATTTGTCCATACTGATCATTGGCTGTTGAGCCAATGGCACCGGTGGCAAAGGCGTGGACACTCACGTGCATCGCATTGCAAACAAGCTCGGCTGGGTGGCTTCCCTAGGTCCAGCCTTCACCTGGAACAACTTGTTACTAGTAGCGATGGACTCCACCTAGTAGCGATGGCCTCCACCTACTAGCGATGGCCTCCCTTTTGTCTCGGCTTCTGTACACATTCTTGTTCCCCCTCTGTGTTTGTTTATGGGAAAGATCTGATGAAGAAAGATCTTCTTATATCATTGCATAAGGTTCGGAGCAAGACGCCGGAAGAGACACGACATCAGTTGGAGCCAACGCCTTGGCATGGACTCAAGTCCTGTTGGATTTTGGCATGATCTCAGGAGTCCTCCACATGTCAGCAAGAATGACTTGTGTGAGTAGCAGATGGCTTCTGCTCATGCTGGTATATAATTTGTTTGAACCAACGGTCTGCATCTTTTGCAACGAACCCGCATTCCTGAAATCTATGTTACAAACACGGCAAATGTAGCATTTGATGTGGTACAAGGTCACTGCTGCCTCGGAAAGAATGGGCTGATCTCAATGCCTCAAGCTTAGAAAGACCTATTCTAAATGATGTGAGGAAAGCAGTAAGGACACATTGTCGGTTCCGTTCCTACAAGGTCCTGTTAGTTGGATTGGGGCAGATGCAGCAGCAGGCGGCACCCTATGGCCACCTTTGGCCTATGATCGTTTCTTTTGATTCATTGTCTCGTGATGTGCATGTTTTCCCATGCAAGTCCAACTTGCTCTTCACATTTTTTAAGCGTTACTTTCCAAAGCGATCGGGGTCTTTGTTTTCACATGTTAGGACCAGAGGAGCTGGAAACTCCCAAACCCTAACGATCTCCGTCGCTGGCAGATAGCGTCTTCAGGCAGCCTCGCAGCTCATCTCATGCGCTGTACATATCCGCAGAAGTCCAGACGCTCTTCAGCTGCTGCATCGGTGGCTTTGCCACAGTAGATCAAGTGGGATGCTCAACTTCTGGACTCCGCGCCTGCCTAGATTTTGAGTCAGGATTGGGGTCCCTTTGCGCTTTGGGCAGAATGAGCGGCTGGACAAACTTGCTGTACGCAACAAGCAGCTACGGCGAGTAATGAAATGAGATGGCTAGAAGTTTTGTGGCTTGACGACCTAGTGTGCCGACATCAGTCAAAGACTTGCAAGCGACTTGCAATTAAATGTGCATTCTGACTTCTGAGTATGCAAGAATTCTGCGTCGCTTTTGCACTCTCATCATCAACACATACTTGTAACAGTTCTAAGCTTCCGTATGTTCGCAGCTGTTTGCTGAACATGTTCAGACTATTCACATGCAAAGGCAGAAAACCAAGTCAGCATATTGGGCGCAGTGCGCGAAACGGGATTATCTAAGGAGCAAGAACTATTAAAAATTGCACAGCAACCCGAAGACGTAGTATCAGCTTCACTGAACCACCCCCAACTTGTGGTGTGGAACATGCACAAGAGCATGGTCTCTTCTTTGTTTTTCCGTGTCATGCTCACAAAACCTAGGCCATTCCGGGCAATGCAGCGTTTCAGGAGCTACGAGCAATGGCTCCAATGCCAAGCAGACTCCCTTGGTAGCTGACAACAAGAAAGCCAGGACATTTTTGAAGATCCGGACATGGTCACAGCCAGTCCTTGGATTCAACGGTCTCGTATTGCCAAATGGATTGCCAGGACTTCAGTGACCTGGCTGCGGATTCCACATGCTCATTAACAACGAGAGACTCGGAAGGCAGAGACAAGCTCCACATTTCGAGCGCTGCATGCGCTCGTTTACATTTGCTTTAGTTTGATGTCTTTGCTCATTGCCTTGCTTTTTGCCAGGGTTGATGGTAGAAACTTGTTCCGTCCGTACACTTTGAGACAGAGAACAGAGATACCATCAGATTGATCATCAGATCAGTATTCGTGACTTGTTAATTGGGTTTCTTTGACTCGCCGTACGCTTTGCTCAGGAATGGTGTCACAGAGTATGCTGCCTTGCTCATCCTGGTGGGTGCAATGGTGGGCTACTATGTGCCTCGATGAACTAGTCAGACTCTGTCTCGAAGACATTCGTGTATGTACTTCGTTTCGTTTTGTCTTAGGTGCTGATGACCTCCATCATCCTGTGTGTCCGTCGCATAAGGCCCGCGTGTTGGCTCAGACGCAATTTTCTTCTGAAGGTCAGTTCATTATTCTAATCCCAAAGCCTAAACAACATACTGAAAGTACGGGAAGTACTCGAGGTGCCAAGTTCATGAGTCATGAGTGAATGGACGGTGAATCATCGTCGGTCGGTTCAGCCGTGTCTTTGAGCCCAAATATGATCTTGCGAATGCTAAGGGGTCCCAAACATACTGCTCTTGTGATTACACCTCGGCAGCGCTTGCTGATCTTTCTGAATCGAGGCTTGGCGGAAATTTGTAGTAGCTCAGGAGAAGAGTGTCAGAGTTTTTGGGCCCGACAAAGGTCATTTCTGGGAATCCCATCAAACGAGTAGGTCAGTAGGTCGAGCTTTTCTTCATTTTAAGTTAGACACCATTATAGATAAATCTAATTCTCTCAACGTACTGTACCACTCCCTTGATAACCTCGCCTGCCAAAGTGTACTGTATAGTGATCAACCGATATACTCTTCTCTTGTGCTGATCCAATCACTTTGCCATGATGCTACTCTGTTGTTGTATCTGAATGATGTCGGGTGATGCACTCGTATGCTAAAGGATTGCAAATATTGGAGCGAATTGATGTACTTCAGACTCTACTTTCTTTGGTGCTCTGTGGTCTCTATGCACCTTGGCACAGAGGTGACAAGGATCAGGAGGGGATGCTTGACGAGAAGCAATTTCTTTTCTTTAAAATCAATCTCTGGCGGGCTTTTAGACATTTGTGCACTCACCAAGCCTTCCAGTCTGACTGGTGCTGCAATCTGAGGTTGTGGAACCTGAGCAGCAATTGGGTGAAGTCGATGTCATGCTTCTTTGCCTTAGACCAACTGACTGACCTCCTGCCTTGTCACAATTGAGGAGACCTATGGGATTGCACAGGTCTGGTTCGAACCAGCAGAGAGTGTGATCAACGTGCCCAAGCTTGAGATATTCAGTTTGGAGACAGGAAATGACTGCCCACAGTCCGCGCAACCTTTCTGATGTGCAGGGATTTGGAAAACCGCACAACTGAGCTTGATGCAAGGAGCAAGAGTAGCTTTTGCACCCCATTAAATGAATTCTTACAACTTCATACTGTCTCCTCCCTTTGCATGTAGATGTGCGTGGGATGCGTAGGGCAACCAAGCACCAACGCATTCTTGTGCTTGAAGTCAATTGGTTGAGTTGCCAAGATCTCCTAAGTACTAAGCAGTACATGTCAGTACTGCTTAGTGGAGTACTGCTTGATGGGATTCTTGGCTCCTTTTCATCGACCCATCAGGTGCTATTTGCTATCGATTATCTTTTCCAATTCTACATCAGCCGCAACAAGCTGGATTTTCTGTATTCCATGATGGCGCTTGTCGACGTCGTTACGCTGATGCCCATTTTGGTCTTCAAGGTGGTGCCAGAGCCTTAGACAAGAATGCAAGTGACCGCTGAACATTCTGAAATACACCAAATGTGTTTAGATAGGTTTAACATCCAAGGTTTAGCATTGACAATGACACCTCCATCATTGTGCGGGTCATCCGCGTCACGAAGCTCTTCCGCATCTTGCGTTCCTTCCGTTTCCTACGGAACCGTCCAGAAGATGTGACGCGGGAGGTCACCATGCACCTTGGTGGCACATTGGCCATGAACATGAGAGCTGGTTGAAAGAGGTGGAGTCCATGGTTGAGAGACATTGGCAGGATTGTATGGTAGTTATATATGTATATACTTACTCACTTTATATGTTACTCTTTAAGATGCGTGAAGGGTTGTACTTGAACTTGGGTTCAGGGGTTCACGGCAGTTCCTTCCTGTGACTCCTGCAACTCGAGGATGGTCTTTGGTATTTTCTGTTTGATCTTTGCGTCAGCGGGCTTTTACCAGCTCTTTGGTGGCACCACTGTGTTTGCGTTTAGACTCTCATCCTTTCATGATCCGAATGGTTCTCAGCAACAGGTTGGTTGAGAATGACATGCGCGTTGTGCCGGATGAGCCGGCCAAAGTACCCTTTCACGAAGCCTTCTACTTCAACGCCATTGAGATCCTTGGACGCCCACGCAACTTTGCGCAGATCACACGTCCGGACTGTGCAGTCTTCCCACGGCGAGAACTCTTTGGATCTCCTGATATCGCATGTTGCCACTGTCCGGCCTAGGATTGCTTGAACCTTGGAGCTTAGAGCATACTAGATGGCCCCCCAACCAAACAGCGATGGCCTCCACCCTTGTTGCGATGGCCTTCAACCCAAGAGCGATGGCCTTAGGGCATCAAAATACTCTGAAGCGCTCCTACAGTACTACACCACGCCACCGGGCACATGAATCTTTTGAGGCATCGAGCCTGCCACTGCCGGGGGGCACTTACTGCTTATTCTGGTGGTGACTGCAGCCTACATTATCATCCCATGGCAAGCTGCTTCAATCCTGAAGGCGAAGATCAGTGATGTGACAACCAGTCCACGAAGATAAATGTCGAAGGTTGTAGAAGACAGTCTGTGCCCAATCTACAAGACAGTCTGTGCCCAATCTCCGGACATCAATGGTTCTTTGGGTCTCTTCTCCTTTGCAGGCATTGCAAAGGGATCCCTGGGCGCTGCGCACCAAGTACAAACGAATGAGCGATGCTCACATCGACGATTGTCTGCAATGGTATTCCATTTTGCTGAGAGATCATCCATGACCGGGGCTAGTTCTTCTTGAAACATGAATTCATGAAACCAGCAAAGCTCAGGTCATCATGGGGCATGTGGAGTTTCCGGTTCTGAACCTTCTGCTCTATGAGGCGGACATGTGTAGATCATGTTCTGACAAGATGCAGCGAGACCAACAACTTTGCTTGATGCTTTGTGTGAACGACGTTTGATAGTGAAAGGTCTATGGGAGGATAGCGATCCTCCATCCTAAGAGCGATGGCCTCCATCCTAATAGCGTTTAAAAGATTGTGAGTCTAATGGGAGGCTTATCATCCAGATCGCGGACCTGCGCGGCCTTGCGATATTGTGATACTGTCGCCGCACCCCCCTGATCACCAGATGCCTGGACTAGTGATATACATGGGAGTTGATCTAGAATCTAGAATCCCGTGTAAGGAGTTTTATAAGCGCCACCGCTTTAACCATGAAAACGGGGGAAGGTGAAATGTAAGTTACATTTTTGGCCACCACCCCCCTCCCAAAACTAAATGTAACTTGACCTCCTCCCACGTATTTGGGGGCATACCCCCGGAACTTGATACATGGGACGCTCCAAGTTACATTTTTTCTTTTGTGTCTTATGAGGGTGAGGGGTCAACAAATGTGACTTAGGAAGTTTGACGCTTTGTCTAGCTTGCTTTTTCTCATTGTTTTTCACAACTCGCCTTCCCTTCACTGGCAGGCCCCTACGGTCCAATGGTGACTCAAAAAGAAGAAAACCGTAAAGACAAGAAAGCAGTAACAGTTTCTCACGAGCAGCTCGGTCAGTACCTGGTGATAGCCCTAGGGTCCAATGGTATCTAAGAAGAAAAAAATAAATAAAGAAAAAGATAAGGAAGAAAGGTCTAAAAATGTAAGCTACGTTGTTGGACGCCTCTAAAGCAACGCGATGCATCTAGAACTTGAAAGGCAACATGTGAATACAAGAGAACAAAAGCTGCATGCGGGAAACGCAGGGAAAGAAGTGGCCATGCAAGGCCCCTACGGTCAAGTTGTAACTGAGAAGGAAGGAAGACATCTAGGCAGCAAAAAAAAGGAGAAGAAAAGGGAGAAAGGCCTAAAGGAAATATGCAGAAAGGCGCAAAGAAGGTGGAACCCACAAAATGCAAGCTACATTTGTGGAGGCCTCTAAAACAGTGGTATGTCCTAAAATATTTGAAAGGCAACATATGAAAACTAGATCAGTGTCCATGCCAGGCCCCTACGGTCAAATGGTGACCCACAAGGAAAAATTCACAAAAGAAAGGAAGACACCAGCAGTAAAATGCAGCAACTGATTCTCCCCAGCAGTTTGGCCAGGAACCGGGTGATGGCCTTAGGGTCAAAGCTGGCCAAGGTTCAAATCGATCCCGCGCTTTGCCTTACAAAATTGTTTACTTTCACACAGGGCACCCGCTGTGGGCGCCATGTGGGAAAGTAGGCAAATTTTTATTTTCTTTGACAAAGCAGAAGCGGACTTGACTCATGGGGTTTTCATGGTTTTAGGCTGGCCGAGGTTCAAAATGATCGCGTGCGTTGCCCTTGCAAAATTGCTTACTTTCACACGCGGCGCCTGCAGCGGGCGACATGTGTGAAGCGGGCGACATGTGTGAAAGTATCAAGTTTTTTGTCATTTTAAACACCAAACAGAAGCAGATTGAAAGGAAGATTGTTGGATATGAACGCGAAGCGAAAGGAACATTCAAGGACATGAATGCAACGTGAAAGACACATGAAAGGACATGACATAAATGCAAAATGACAAGAACAATGCAAGGAAATGAATACACAACGAAAAGACAATGAAAGGAATACATGCAAAATGAGCTCAAAAATCAGACAATGTAACTTGGCTGAACGTGGTAGGGGGAGTGGGGTCTACAGGTGTAATAGTTCCTGTGAATTTTCAATAGGAAATCTGTAAGCTAGGGGGTCGAAAACTTAACATTACAGTTTTGACGCCTTAAAAGCATTGTTATATTACAATTCCGACCCTCAAAGTCAAGGAAATTGTAAGTTACAATTAGGCCCCCCCTCACTAATTTGTGGCGATGTTCTTTTTTTTAATAACATCACATTTCAGATGTTGTCAAAACCATCCCCGAAAGATTCGTGATGACATCGGAGGGTCGCGAAAGATTCTTTTTATGTTTTTGCGAAAGATTTATCGAAGGTCTTCACTTTAATATGTTTTCCTTTCTACCGACCGACAAGTGGTAGAAATTGAATTGCAAGGCAATCCTCTCAGCCGGTGGGCGGAAGTGTGCCTGCATGTCCCCACTGTCACATACTATCACAGACTAGCAATCTAACAACTTAGCTTGTCCTTGCACAGCCTTGGCAGTGAGGCAACGCAGCTCTGACGGGCTGCGCAGATGTTAGCACATGTTATCCCACAGAAATCACCAGTGAAATTTCGCAAAAGATTTGCGAATGTGCCGCTAAAGTCCAGGTTCCAAGCTTGAGGCCCAACATACCCCGAGCTGCATCACCCTGTGTTGGTAGCTGGCACGAGGATTGGGTTGAGTTGTGCCTAACTCTCCTTGTGCTGCAAGATGTCAGTCGGTATAGTTCCAGCTCATGTTAACACATGTTAACTAGACATGGTTTGGGCACCATGCTTCCCGATGAGGACGCGAAAGATCCGCGGAAGGTATTTTGTTCAAGAAGAATGGCCAATCAACCACTCCCCCACACACATATATATATATATAGGTTTTTTACTGCGTGCAAAAATATAAATATATATATATACATATAAAAAAATCATATTGTGTGTATGCTGTTGACTTCGAGGGTGAGCTTCATAGAATTTGCAAAGGGATGCGTGGCTACAGTATTTTCTTTGTGTGGCTTGTCCTTTTGACGCAAGTGACACAAGGATTCGGGATTTGCTTGGACATCCGGCATACACTGGGCATGTTCAATACATACAGGCAGGCTCTTGTCCGAGTGCCTCTTGTGTGTTGCCGCAGTCAAGGCAAATACACAGTTTGAGTTCATGGCGGTTTTGGCTGAGATCAGCCTTCCGCTATCACCAGATGAAGCATCGTTACCTCTTTGTGCCAGGGCTCCTCTCAGACGGAGAAGGATCTCTTTCGCGCCAAAGTCCACGAAGCCATGGCGGTGCTGGTCTTGGCCTGTCCCGTGGCCAAGCTTGGGGGACCACGTGGCCTTTTGAAACACAAAAAGGACATCATCAGACACACCAAATTCGTGTACACAGAAGAGCTGGCAAAGCACCTATGACGATCTATCAACAGTCTTGTGCCTCTACCTCTCTCGCTATATACACAATATACATACTGATTGTACTTTGACGACACATTGCTTCAATGATAAAGAGTGTGCAAGCATTCTTGAAGGTAAATATCCAGCTGATCCTCACTGGGAGGACACCCAGGCGTGCAAGGTTGAAAATTGCTTTAAACTAGACCAATGTGTCAGGATGAACTTGCATTCAACATCAGTGGTGCTGCCTTTCAGAGCTGGATGTTGTGTCCAGGTGGCCTCCATTGTGCTCTCCTGCAAGGCCTTCAAGAATGCGCCACTTGGTCACTTTAAATGTGCCTCCTAGTTTGCCTGTTTGTAAGGGGTATATATATATATATATGTATAGTGAAGTCCAAAACCTAATTTGAAGGAATTCTAGATTGATAGCACAATCATTCCTTTTGAAACAGAATATTTTAGTCCAACAAGAGCTGCTCTTGGACCAATTCCTGCTTGGCCAGCTAACAGTTCTTCCAGATTCAAACCCCAAACTGATAGGTTCAAGGCGGGTTCTTTGGGTGTTCCTACCCTCAAAAGAACGACAAGTCGTCTCCTTGGCTCGCCACCGTTCCGCCAGTCGACTTTGCCCTAGGCAGTTGCATCGACAGAGAGCTTTCGAAGGGCGCCGGCGCTTGCGTCTCCTGGCACAGGCCGCACAGCCGAGGACATTTTTCCTTTAAGAGAAACTTGTGTTGGGTTTCCCATGGATTCTTTGTAATAACACGCTTTGTAGACGTTTGCTACATATTTGAGACCCGTATGTATTGCATCACGCGGTCAATGAGGTTGCAATTCGATGATCGTTCCGTTCAGCCTAGTCTTGCCGGCAACCGCATTAGTAGCCCTCTCTCTTTGTCCACCAGCATCCGCGAGGTGCTCTCACCAGAGACTCGTGACCGCATCGTTTGCATGCCGGGATGGGACAAACTACACGACCTGTGCCTGGTGCGACGTGGCGTTTGTATTTGGTCGTTTGTATGCAGATGGTGCTGCGACTGTGCCAAGTGTGGCGAAGCAAAGTCCAAGAAGGAAGAAGCTACTAGGAGCAAAGGGCACCGCTACTAGGGGCAAGAACGCTACTAGGGGCTCCTGGCATCGCTACTAGGAACAAGAAGCTACTAGTAGCGAATTGAGTTTGCATGAAGTCACTGGTGCTCTGAGCTTTTCACGACAGGTCATTGGAGAACTCACTGCAGCGATGCTCGCCGGATCCGCACTTCACAGGGGCATGGCAACCATGGTGGCTCTGCGCAAGTGTTGTTGATTTCCTTTTGGGACAGACCAGAAAGGACACCATCTTCGTTCCCGTATTTTTCTAACTGGCATTGGAAGGGCACGAAAGCGCACATATACCCCTTCTGACTGTTGATGATGAGGGTGGATAGATGAGCAAGAGTGCCAACTGAAGAAAAACGTGTAGAGTTTGTCAGAGTTGCTTTTCAGGATATTGCAAGGCATATTCTGCACGGATTAGCGATCAGAGCGATCAGGGCTGATGACACGATGGCAACCTAGGTGTTGAATTTGGTCAGTCACACCACCAGCCATGCCTATGACCCCAGCACGGAGCCACCGGACTGCACAAACGGAGTGAGTGATATGACGTGGCCAAAAGTACGTCACTCGCAAGAGTGCCACCCTGGCGTGTGACCCTGGACAATGCCAGAACAATAGTACACTCAACAGCTAAGGCGGTGGTTTGACCTCTACCACAAAGGCTCTCGCCAGGAGATTTACCACTGCAGTGTCACAAAGCCTTTTGTCGTGGACTTGCGCTGGTGACAACGTTTTAAAGCTGTAAACCCTTGTCTTCCGTTCCCATACTAGCAGCCAAGGCAAAGTGGCATTTGTGGGCAGAGTATTGTGAATGCTGCACACTATCTCTACGAGCAGCTCAGCATGAAGCACCCTTGTCAAAGCATACTCAGCAGGTTTGGGGCCAGGCAAGCAGGACCCAGCAATGAAGAGGAACTAGATGAAACCACCAGATAGCTTTTTCACTCAGTGCTCAGAGTACTCTGTTTGGGAGTTTGATTCAAGGAACCACAACATGCTGCTCATCGCTGTGAAGCGCTCTCGCGCAGAGGGCGCTGAAACACCTGGGAGCAACATCTCCAAGCAGCGAAGGTCTCGGCTGCTGCTTTTCCCTGGCAGCGAAGAGACGTGTTTGCAGGACGTCTCAGTGAAGGAAAAGTCATCAAAGCTCCAACAAGTTCTGCAAATTAAAGTAACGAAACCTCGCTCGATTCAAAAGCCGCTCAGAACGCCTTCAAAAGCCGTTCATTCTCGAAACTTGCAATGTTGACCACAGGATGGGGACCGTGTCTATGTCATTGCCAGTTCCTTGCCGGAGGTGGTTGTGGCTATCAAGCGCCCGGGCCCTGATGGCTTCCACAACGTGCTGCTTTCTTCGCCGCGTTCTGCGGAGCGTCCGCCTTTTTCGCAGGAGCAAAGGCCTCGAAGAAGCCGGTCTTACAGAGGAAGATGCAGTCAGAGCTGGGGGAGGAGCCAGTCAGTGCGAAACAATCCAGTTGATTCATTTGGGTTCATTCATTTTTCATTCATTTTGATTGACTCCATTTTGACCTGCGCTCCAGGGTGGCACTTCCAACCATTCTCCGCAAACACAGCTGGTGCGAAAAGGTGAAGGTGACCAACACACCTGGGAGGACAGTGCTGCCCACAGGAAAACGAAAGAAGAACAACTCAAAACGGGTTTGTCGTTAGGAATCAAAGGAAGTCTGGAGATGTCTGGAGTACAGTGGGTCTTTGAGACAGAATCAAACCAGGAAGACAGCAACCCGGACTTTTTTGCTCGACTCAAAGCCCGTTCTGAGCAATGGCATATGCTGCTTGGCTGATAGGCATAGAAGGGCTTGGACTGCTAGATGTTTTGTCACTCAATCATCTGACATAATGATATAACATGAGCTCTCTTGAGTTGGCGCTAATCACTTCAACTTTTCGTCCAGCTTGGAGTGGAGAGGCCAAAGAGGGTATCAAGTCTGCCTCTCCTGAGACGAGCATGGTTGAGATTCAGGCAGCAAGGGGTGCCACAGTGCGCTTCGAAGAGATTTTGCAGGGTTGAGTTTTTGGAACACAGACATGCTAAGCCGCAGGGTGAGGTTTACTGACATTTGGCTATCCTGAGTCATCCGGTGATCCCTTGACTGTTTCTGGATCTGAATGCTTTTGTACAGCTTTTTGAGTTGAGAGCAGCTTGACCTCAGATGGCCTGCTGATTTGGATGATGATCTTGGCAGCTTTGGTCCAGATCCCAGGATTTCAGGACATAATCTCTGACAAGGATAGTGAGGTCAGTTAACTGTGGCCAGAGATTGAGAGATTTGTATATGAATAGATATGAATAGCCGGAACCTGTCTTACTTTCCACCCTGATGCACGCGACGCAGATCTGACCTATCAGCTGCTCGGGTCCGTGTACTGTATGTGTGTTTCAGCTTTGGGCCGTCAAGCGCAGTCTGTCCACAATTGCTTCGCTGAGCAGCGTGAGCGCTGCAGAAGTGAAGAACGCCTTTTTTCGATCAGCTTGGCGATGACTTCGTGAAATTGCAGGAAGGATGAACTCAAAGAACTCTCCTCAACAAAGCCTCCTCAGGGCTTCTTGGACCTTGTGGGTTTAGTTGCTGCTCAAGCGTGTGCCGCGTTGGCTTGATCAGCCTCAACTGGGCTGGGTCGAGGTTCGTCCCACGCATTCTTGTTGAGACAGGTACTGTACGGATCCGATAGCTGATGCATGTCGTGTGAGTTTGCAGCTTGGCGACCACGCTTGTTGGTCCGCGGAATACGAGCCCCGATGTCAGCCAAATCTGAGCACATGCCGCATGCCTGCTCCTGGAGTGGTGATTGTCCCAGAAGGCAGTGTTGCCAAGTCATGAACGTTGGTCTCTAGAGCTAGGCTTTGTGAACCATAAAGCGTCAGATCCCTTCTGTCGTTGCCCGATCCCTGAGGAGGGTGCATGTCAACCTGATCCATTTTGTGTAGGAGCGTACGCGCTCTTGGGCTGCTTGTTGACCTTTTACTGTTTAACTTCATCTTCGTGCTTTTTCTGGATCGCAGTCGCATGATGATCAATGATCTGTATGAGTGTGCATACCCCACCCACAGTAGCCTAAACCTGCCGGGCCTAACCTCCGGCCTTTCACAAACCGCCAAAGCAGATGCAAGCAGTGTCTATGTTACGAGATTTGATGCCAACAAACTCCAAGTGCTGCCTCGGCACTAGATGTGGCACCGAGAAACTACCCTGCCGCGAAGATCACGAGCTGCAGAAATGCGTTCAAGCCTCCTGGTAGTCGGTGCGTGTAGGTTTGTTTCCCAGTGGATGTGGATGCAGTTGGGCGCAGAAGTCGATGTGTGCAAGATGGTGCTTGTACGACCACGCGCGTAAGACAATGTCGATGTGATGTGTGTTTTCGGGAACACCAAACAGATCCAGAAAGCAATCCGGTGGTGGGCCTTCAATCGGGCATTGGTGGGACCGCAGTGAGTGGGTGTTTGGCGAGACACTAGCAGATATCAATATACAATCTATTCAGTCTATCCAAACCCTGTCGGCCGTTATGGGTGGGGAGGCACTGCCTAAACCCTGTCGCGCTCCAAGGTGTGGATGACAGTCCCGCGCGTTTGCCGCGTGGGTTCAATCGAAAGGAGCTGGAAAAAATACAGTTGCTTAGTTGCAGCCCTTGATGACGCACGGTTGGGGTTGTACGTCGTTTCTTTCACATCCAGAGCACCAAGTGATGCCAGCCTTGCTGGGAGATGCACAATGGGTAGGATAAGCAGGGCAAAGATGAAGGAGAAACTACGCTTTCAACATTGCTGTGTGGATTGATGGTAGATTGGTAGAGTCGGTAGATCAATCAACCGATGTTCGGGCAATCACGCAAAGACTAGCTTCGGGTTTATTTGTGGGATACAATATCTCAATCTTTCGACGCCTCAAGAAAGTCAAAAGGTTGCGTGGTGGCTTGGGGTATATATGATTATATGATTGGAATTGGAACGGTGTCTTCCCAGACCCAGGGACTTATTTTCATGGGTGGTATTCCATCTTATTGGTGGCAAATGCCATTGGGACCAACCACTTGCATTGTGTGGGCTAAACTTCACCGTCTTTTCTGAGAAGCACTTTTGATATCGGTAATGATTTATGTCTGTTTTCGATTTTCGGCGCTGAGGAGCGAGGAGATTGAAGCAGCATCTGAGTCGGTCTTTGACAGAGTTCTCAGTGACTTGGTTGTTCGAAACTTGACCACAAGACGAGTGCTGGCCATAGCGGTCTTGGCCTCCTTGTGGCTTTGGCCTTGGCACATTTTGGAGTTCTTGTTACTTGTTCCAAGTCCTAGCAGAACGGCAACCGTAGCAACCATGTTTCAATTTCCGCTGTGTTCCTTTGTGCAGCCCAGTTACTTCCTGCAGGTCGACGGAGCTATGAAAGCTTTTCAAGGGGGATATCGAGAGTTGAATCTCCCTTCGTCTCAGAGCACACCGTGGATGTGACCGATTCCATCACAATGGAACCCTTCAAGATGCTTAGATGCATTTCTTCAAACCTGCAAATGGGATCGGTGCCTTTTCTTTATCTACAATATCGCTGAAATTCATGCATCAAAGCAGATTTGCACTGCTTCGAATTTCGCTGTCAGGACAAAGCATGCTGCAGCTCCACAGCACTCAACATCAGCTTTGTGAACGCCTTGGAAACGTAGCGGTGCATATGATGTTGCAAGTGGGTTGCCCACTATTTTTTGCAGTGAAAAGCTTTAAGGTCCCATGTATAGTAAAGACACTTTTCAAACCTTCTAATGCAACTATCAAACTACACTTCTCGAATGTGAGCGATGACTGCAAATGTATATCAAAACTGAGGTGTACCTTGGAACCCTCCAACAAGTTTGTTCCCGCCGCTAGCATTCTTAGGCAGTTTGAGACTGCGGAGCCCTCTGCCAGATTAAAGCGTTTGATGGCTTTGCTGCTTGAATATGGCTTGGAGCCCAGGAAAACGCACACCGAAAGCAGTTGTGGCTCACAACCGGGCAAGGACAAATTCACTTCAAGTCATCGTGGGTACTGGAGAGATTCCAAGCACTGATGTTGGGACAGCTCAGGCGGGGATTTGTCAGTGTTGGAGAAGGACTTGGCTGCGGTCGGGCTGCAAGGGGAGCTGCGGCCTCTTCAGCCGCTCGTTAGCAAAGTACTTTGTGCTAAATGAAGCCCATCCTGCTTAAACAGATCAGGACTAAACAGTCAAGAGCTCCACTATCCCGCGTGACTTCTTCAGGGACTTTTGCCAATGTGTTCTAGTACTAGAGGAGAGCGCTTTGATCAGCACACACTGGCGATTGCAACACCGTGACTTACAAAGGCTGACCTTGGAAGACAAAACCAAAGAGCCGCTTAGACTTGCTGAGCATCTTGCCTGCAAGCGCGAGCGCTCACGCATGCAAAGATCGCATGTTCTTAGAAGGAGATAGACTTGAATTTTCCGTACATGCTCTCCGACAACAGAACTGGGGAGATCAAGCTGTTCTTCTATTTAGATGGTTCACATTGTCCCCTTGCCCAGGATTCCCAAGCCTTCTAAAACACTGGAAGAGCTTAAGGACCCGATTTCAGGCTGAAGCATTGACTGGGCAAGTGTCGCTCATCAGAGTACCACTCAATCAGCAGCAAATCCAGGTTTAGTCAAATGACAGTAGATGGATTTGCAGCTTCAAGCTGTACTGTCACTGGAACCCACAGGACCACATCGTGGTCTATGGAGGGGACCCCGTCTCAATCGCCGCCACCATCCGTATGATGCAATTGCGGCAACCTGGGGTCGAGGTTGGGCGTTCCGTCAGGAAGTGCTTGGCAGTTTAACCGTGGATCATGAAGATCAAGCGTGCAGGTTGTGATTCTCAGCATGGACGCGCACGAAGAACGTAGTCCAAAGATGTGGCAAGAAATCGATCTTGACACAGCACCTTGGTTTTCTTTGCTAGATTGGTTGAGGTGCATCACAGCTTGGGGTATGCAGGCTTTAGACACTGTAGACCCATTCTTTTGTGATTGAAATGTCTGAATGCTCATCCTCAGCTGTACTTGCCCCCACTTTACAGTGTCAAGGTGTACTTCGTCAAAGAGCTGCTGCACCATCAGAAGGACATCCGTGGCGCCTTCCTACACAATGCAAAGGCAGGATTTGCGCAAGGTGACATTGTGTCTTCTAGGCAGTTCGGACAGCGAGCTTTCTATTACTTAGAGCCGAGCCGGAACCTGGAGGCTGTCATTATCCTGCCTTTGATAGACAAGGACATGACCAATGCTCCTGTCCAGGGTTGGGAGCTACGGCGCATGGCCTGAGACTCAAGGGTCGCTGAAAATGCAAAAGATTGGACCGAGTCCTTGAGGATGCTTATATAAGGTCCCACATAAGACCTGAGATCTTCAGAGCTTGGTTTCCCTCAATCTAGAAACCTTTTTGGCGAATGAGACAACTTTTTTAAAAAGAAGCTTCGCCACCCACCTTTTGCATCTTTTGCATCCTTGCTAGTAGCTTCCTGGTTGCCGTCCACTTCTAGCTACCGACCTGCCTCACCCGCCCTGTCAAAAACTTCTTTCTTCACCAAGGTGGACTCGGACACGATCCTCACCACCAACGTGATTGCTACTCGAAAGTGGACGCCAGCGACCGAGTTCCAGGATGTTTGGACGGTCACACAGCTCTTCCAGGACAGATGTCATCGACAGTTTCCACTGAAAGGGTCTATGGTGTGGCATGCTGTGGTTTTCATTTCATTCACTGGAACCTGCAAAATTAATTCCAAGCAAGTGACCACTGCAACTTTACAAGATACTTCTTCAGCCGCACCTGTGACAGGAAGGGTCCTTAAACCGATTCTTTGGGATGTATCTTGGCATGGCAAACTAATGCTTTGCTTGGTGGGGCGTTTTCATTTTTCCAACACAGGACCAATACAGGACTTATATACAGCACAAGCAGTCACGTGATTTCAATTGCTTTAGAGGCGGGTGTTTGGCCTTTGTTTTCTAAAGTCTTGATATCCTGGCTCTGATTCCAAGGAATCCTGAAGCGCAAGGTGCCAGCTCTCTCTTCGAAGACCGCTGGATGGCCTCTGCCCCGCTGAACATGTCACCCCTCTTTGCTGCTGGTCATGTCATTGCCACCACCACGGTTGATCGCTTCTTAATGGACGCTGAGTTGAGCATGATTGCCGTGGACTTCGGTTGGAGCAAGAGCGAAGACGGATTTGTAGAGTGAGTTGATGCCGGTGGACAATTGAGAGGGATACTGTAACGGTTGAACATTTTGACAATCATTCACCTGCCTGTCATTGGCTGAGACACCAGTTTGGACATCCAACCACACAGCAGAAAGTAACGCCAACCCACCTTCAAAGTCATTGTGTTCACAGGAGAATCTAGTTGAACTTCAAGTTGTTCCAAATCAATGAGTTGACCCATAAGGAGAGCTTCTTCAACCCAGATGCAATGATCATTGTGGAACGGCTCTTTGGGCTGGCCGGGCCGCGTGGAAGCACTGATGATTTCGCCATTTCCCGCTGTCATCTCGCCTTTGCCTCCTGAAAGCGTCTCTCATTTGCACAAGGTTGACCATTGGGCCGAAGGCCGAAGTGTCAGCGAAAGTGAAGATGCATTTCAGAACTGCAAGAAGATTCACCGCAAGTGAACATACAGTAAGCGTAAGTGGAGAGTTGCTGCCAGACGAGCAATCCGTAGGCCAAAGGTGGCCTGGGGAGCCTCAGCTATGCGAATTTCCCCTGTGTCTTTCAAATAGCGGCCTCTGCCAAGATGCTTTCTGCATGTAGGAGAGCCTTTGGTAGGAGAGCTTTTGGAACTTTGGGAAGCCAAAACCTGCGCAAAATCGGGTCAGTGATGGTCGGTGGGCTTCTGCATAGTGTCCTTAATACCGGTGTTTGAGATCATTTGCCAATAGGTCTCAGGTTGTTGCCACAAACAGGTCTGTCAGGGAAGTTCAACAAAGTCTAGGTGTTTTCAAGTCTCTCAGCAGTCTTCGCTCTCAAGAGGACCTTTGGAGAAGCTGCAAATATGCTGCTATGCCATAGCGATCCCATCCTCCCGCTGGGGATCTTCCGCTATCCGAAGGTGCGGTCGGGACGGTGCTAAAGGAATCGGCAGACACATGAATCAGGGCTTACCATTTTTTGAAAAGGAGGACACCTGATTGTCCTTTGGGTAAGCACGTCTCGTACAAACGAGGATTTGATATTCTTGTAGCGCTCGCCACCTTAGCTTCGCGTTTGAATACGGCCAGCATCAGGGCAACAAGTCTTCCTATTCCATGCTCGTGAGCTTGGACCTCAGCGCATTCTTCTTCCCACAGGCATAGGCTAGTTCTGCGCACGGGGCACCTGGGAGGTGGTCGTGGAATGTCGTGGGTAAACATGTAGATCAACCATGATCAAAGCCGGGCTTGACAAACCGAGTCTTTGTTTGTTCCTAGTAGCTTCTTGTTACTAGTACAGCGATGCCCTTTGTTCCTAGTAGCGTCCTTGCTCCTGGTAGTAAGGCCAGGAGTCCCTAGTACCTTGTCTTTTGGTGCTGAGTTTCCAACGCTTTTAAGGCTTGGAAGCGGCCCAAGAGTTGGACTTTCGATGCCCGCAGTTTGGCATGAGCCAGTCCTTCGCGGAGGTCCAAGGCACAGCTGATCTTCGCAAAGACTAAGATGTTTAAATATGTTCAAACAACTGCCAATGCAAAAAGTGCAAGAAGAAGGCAGAGTTCTTCTTTTGGCGGGTGTCCTTTCATTTTTTCTTTCAAAAAGACAACCATCCTCTCAATGGTTTTTGTCAGTTCTTGTTGGTTTTTGTTTCACATCTGGATTTTGTCTTGTCCAGGCGAACATGGCTTGTCGAATCGTTTGCCGTTCGTAGTGACCAATCCGCCGAAGGAGCCAGTGACAGTGTGATTTCAGTGAGCGATTGTGCGCATCTGTCCATGCCTGGGTCATGGAATGTTCAATCCATTTACTGTAGCTGACCCGTTTGTTGTATTGAGACAATGCACTGGTCGCTTTGCTCAATCCGCTGTTCTCGATGCGAGAGTGTATCGTCTAAGAACCCATGGAAGAGATCGAAGCAGCCACAAGGACCTGGTGCTTTTGCCTTCTGATCTGATTTTTGTGCTGGGGCGCCCCCAGCACTGTCAAGCAGAAGCACCTCGCCAAGGCCAGGTCCTGCCATTTTTGCGGAAAAACCTTTACTCATCATCACCATCACCACCATCGTCATAGACGTCGTCGCCATCGTCGCCGTCGTCGTTCGTCCTCCTCATCGTCACCGACATCGTTTTCTTTCTTTCTTTCTTTCTTTCTTCCCCAAACAGGTTTACCTGTGAGGGGTTCTTACTCCTTTGAAAGGGGTGCATGACCGGGCCACATGATTTTACATTTGTCTCCCGGCTTGCGTTCCTGCCACACTGTGGTTGTGGCCGCATTATTTTACATTTGTCTCCCATTTGTCTCCCACTGTCTGTGGGTGCTCTGGCCGCATGATTTTACACTTGTCTCCCACTTGTCTCCCACTGTCTCCGCTCGCTTGTGGGTGCTCTGGCCGCATAATTTTTACAGTTGTATCCCATTTGTGTCCCACTGTCTCCAGTCGTTTGTGGGTGCTGTGGCTGCATGATTTTACACTTGTCTGGATTTGGACCTGGACCAAACAAACTGTTTGGGGGCCAACGCTAGTATATTTTCTTGTTTTTTGCCGACGGCCATCAGTCCTCTGGCGCACCGAAGTGCCATCTACCATCGAAGACATCAAGCAGCATAGCCAATTGTGAAGTTGCTTCGCAGGCTCCAAGCTGCTGATGTCGACAGAGCATCAAATGAACGCGCACGGCGCACTGTCGAACATAATGCTGACCTCTGATTAGCAAAATGGGGTGGCAAATCTCAAAATTTTTGAAGACCAACAATAAAGTCAATCCCAGGTTCCAAGAAAGAATTTTTAATTAGACATGAAATGATATCCCTTACTAACTAAGACAAGATAGTTTAAATGAGTAATGAAATGATCCCTTATTAAAATTAAACTAAAAAAAGCTGAGTTAGTATTCAAATCAATTGACTAATTGGGAATTGAATTTGTATTGAAATTAAAATTTGAATTTAAATTCAGTTTCAATTCAATTGAATTCAACTTCAACTCAAGTTCAATTACAATTAGTCAATGAATTTGAATACTAAACCACCTTTATTTTAATGATCTAAATTCAATTGGAATTGATTAGAATTTAAACTCAATTGAATTGGAATTGAATTGAATTGGAACTGATTTTGAATGAAACTCAATTGAAATGGGTTTGGTGGCTTCAGAAAATCGATTAGCTTTATTTAGGGTAGACTTTATTTAGGGTTTGGTGGCTTCATGAAAATCCATTAGCTTTATTTTGGGTTTGGTGGCTTCACTTTTTCATTTTGAAACAAATAAAATAGAATAAAACCAAAGAAAAACACAAAAACGAAACCTAATTTAAATCAAAAGGAAAAGTGCTAACTTTATTTCGGATCCCTTTATGCATCTTTGGCCAGCCTAATGTCTGGCTGGCGGGTACCATCGTGTTGGCAAGTGTTGGAGGCCAATCGAAGTCACACAGGAAAAGCCGGCTCGCGGAGGATGTTCCTCGCCATGATTCTGGTTATTTGCAGCCAAGCCTCAGCAGTTGGGCCAGTGAGCTCGTGCTGAACTTCTGCTCTTCCATGCGTGGATGAGGCACACAGGAAGTCTTGCAAAGCGCTGCAGTGGCGGTTCATCACCATCATAGATTCGCCAGGTGTTGCCGGGTAGGATGGCAGGTCATGTCCAAGGTGATATGACAAAGCCACAACTCGGAATATGTTATCCATTCCAAGACAAAGCATGGAAACCGCACCTTGTTCCCCACGCAAGTCTGGTCTGGCATTTGCGCCTGGAGCCGAATCTGTCAGTTTGAAGGCAGGTGAGATCAGCTGGACCCGGAAGAGCATGGCAACCCAAATGAGGCCATGCTTGAAGAGGTCAGGATGCTTGAAGAGGTGAGGAGGGCTGGTTTGAACAAGCGGTCGAGATTGGAAAGGGGCGCAAAAGGAGCCGTTGCCTGCTTTGGTTGCCTGCTGGGAAACGATGAGTTCAGTGGCAAGCAAGTCCACGTTGACGCGAGCGTCTACCCCGTGTTGGCGCTCATGGAGGCCTGGAGTCGCAGCTAGAAGAGTCCGCGCTTGGCTGTTGGCTGTGGGTAGGACAAATTCCATGCGCTAGCCCCCGTTGCGTGGCCATCAGCAAGCTGAAGGTGACGGACGGATATGCAACGCTGGTCGCTGGTGAGGGGGGCATCGTTGCTATGCCCAGCTTTCCGCAGAACGGGGCTTGGAACCAAGCGACCGCGCGACAAGTGGTGAGGTCCCTGGGAGACAGCGATAGACCGGAAGGCCAGAAAGGATTCAGCAGAGCAGCAGAGGACTAAATCGCGCCGGTGAAGGGCGCCGCAAAAGACCAACGCCGCGATTGCCTTACTGCAGCAGCTGTCTGTCTGGCCGTTCTCCTTCGGAGCCGTGGGGGCCCGAACCCTCCACGCTTGCAAACTTTTGAGAAGCAAGTGGCGATTTCCATTTTGCGCCGAGTTTTTGAGGTGGTGTTGAAATCAACTGGTGGGCAAGACACCGCTTGCGTCCAAACGCACTTTCTTTAGCAAAAAGCTGGTGAGTGGATTGCGCAAAGCACCTTATTGTTATGATGTGCCTTACAGCCTAACTCTGAAATCTCAAGGATTCATAATGCAAAAAAGCATCAAACATGCAGACAAGGCAGCTGGTCAAAAAGAGTGCGTATCAAAAACAAAAAATTGGCACAAGGAAGCCGAAAAAACAACAATATATACAACAGTTTTAACACGCAAAGCAAAAGCAAACAAAAACGCGCAAAGGAAGCACATGCGCAACCAAATTTCACAACCTTTATTTGTGTGTGTGTGTTTTTTGGTGATGTTTGTGCGTTTTTTCCGGGCGATATTTTTGTGTGTTGGTTGTGCGTTTTGTTAAAGGCGGTTTTGCAAGGAAACGCACAAACAATGCAAAAACAAGGTAACGCGACCCTGAATGACTCGCGCAGTCGCGGGTGTGGCACTTTTGTTATCGTGGATCCATTCATGGTACTTTTCAGTGTTTCGTAGACGCAGATCTTTGTCTCAAGTCATTTTTCTGCATATTTCCAACCTTACATTGGGATTCACAAGCGCACCATTCCCTCCAACCTCGAAAAAGTTGCATCATCAGTTTTCACCGCGCCAGTGAGCCAACGCAACCACAAAAATTTCCCGCACTCCTCGAGACATCTAACGCCCGCCGGTCAAGGTCTAAACAAATGTCCAGCGCGGCGAGACGAGACCTAATGAATCCCACAGAGACACACAACAACGAAAAAGAACGCATTGAGCTTCAAAGCCTGCGGTCAGTGTACCTTGGCCCTCGAACGCAACAAGTCTCGACGTAGTTGGCCCCCGTCGCCCTGCCCCCAGCGCCCCCTGTGTTTGCTTTTGCTTACTACCCACCTCTGTATGGTCTCGCCTCTCATATATGTGTACATGACTGACGCATTTGGCTCAAGCCTGGAACAGCCGCTTGCTTTCACGCGAGACGCTGCACTTGACTGGCTTTCCCGTTGGACCACTCTCGAGACAGTGTTCTTTCCAACGGAACTCCACTGCATTGCACTTCGTGTCACCCCCCCGTCACTTCCACAGCACGTCGAAACCACGACTGAAACGGAACATTTTAGAACTGCGGAACACGAACGCCTGTGCGAGCCACGAGCGGTCGTGACACCAAAAACAACGCAAACAACGCAAAAGGGCAGGCAGTCTAAAGGCAAAGGATCTCACAAAGCAGGCAAGTGTAAAGACCATCGGACAATTTAGTTTTTGTCGTTTTTTGCATTCCAACGCTTTCCTTGGTGACTTGTTTTTGCGTTTTCTGTGCATTTTTCAGCATATTTTTTTGCCTTGTTATGTTTATTTTATGTTTTGCTGTGTCATCAGAACTAGCCTTAGTGTACATTATAGCCTTGTTGGGTCAGCACTGTGGTTTTATTCGGGCTCGATCCTTGGTTTGCATTGCGGGGGCGCTGCGCCCTCCCGAGCCCCCCCTCCCGCGTTTATTTGCAGAGCATCCATCCATCCATCCATCCAGCCAGCCAGCCAGCAAGCGAACAATTTTTTCTTTACCATCCCCATTATCCATCAATCATTGTACCACGCAATCAATCAACATCAAGCTAGCCAACCAACCAACACACCGACCAAAGTATGAAGGGTGAAAAAGAAAGGGTAGAGGGTGAACAGAAAAAGGTAGAGGGTGAACAAACGGTTAAAAGGGTGAAAAAAGGTGGAGGGTGGAAAAAAGGGTGGGGTGAAAAAAACGGGGTCAAGGCAAATTGCCCTGTTACTAGTGCTGGGGCAAACCCAATGCAGACTACAGCTTTGCGAATTTCATTGAAGTTCCCACAAGGTCACAAGGTCATTAGGTGGCACTTTCCATTCTGGAAAATTGAGGAGGAAGGTAGTTTGAGTCTAGACTGTCCTGAATGTCCTGGCATACTTCACGTTAAGTTTCCTGATGCCTTTGTGTGCCCAGATGTCGAGATGTCAGACAGTGACGACGAGGCTGAGCTGGAGGCCCGTCTCGAATGGAGTTGTGGTGCAGTTTCTTTCGGCGCATGTCGCTGTTTTTCCATTTGTTTGTTCACTTCCCATCTCCAGCAGGAGATCATTTCGAGACTCTGAGCCCTTACTTGGAATGGTGCGACAGATCATTTGCTAATGGATGGAATTTGATGCCTAGCTTTAGCAGTCTGAGAGCCTGTGACTGCAGTTTTCCAACCCACGTGCCGACTTGAGCTCCTCGCGCGAGCTCCTAAAGATAGCAGAGCTAGTGAGAGGCATGGTGTTGACGCTTCGCTTGGGAAAGGCCTCATAAAAGGTGAGAGCCTGCTGAACAACAGGCCTGCGTGACACTTTCAGGCGCGTTGCCCTACAAGTAGGCAAGGATGCAGAAACTGTGTCCGCTGGCAGAACGGCGTACAACATATGCCGATGTGTCAGCCTGCTGAGGCTTGTGAAGTTTTCGGCAACATATGTGATTCTGTGATCCTATTTGACAATGAAGAAGGATATGATGACAACTTCATCCCTTAAGCCGCCAGAGAAGTGGGCTTTAGAGGGCAGGACCTAGGAAGTTGCGCCAAGCTCAAACAAGGCCTTTGCCTTTGAAAAAAGGATCATGTTTTGCAGGCATTTTAGCAGCGGTGACGCGCGCACCTTTGAACTTGAAATTCGCTTGAATATTGAGGTAGGCCGATCAGCAGCTTTCCAGCAAACCACTCCAGCTTGTCAGCTAGTCCAGCTGTTCATCCTTGTGCATCCCTTGTCATTCTGATCCTTGTTGAGCAGCTATCACCTCGGGCTTGCCATAGCTGCAGCACCAAAAGCTGGCATTTTAGGAATTCAAGCCCACTCTGACCATAACAGCTTTTTGTGCATGACATGATGCTGCTGGGCGAGGCAAGAAATCCTACGGAGATCAAGATGGCGCGCCCAGCACCACTGCACCAATGCAATGCCCATAGACGACTTATGACGACTTCACAATGCGAGGGACACTGTGTGCATGTTTTGTCATCGCAGCCTGGCAACCCTCTATGCTTTTGTCATGCAGCTGAACGGCTCAAGAACATGCCGACATGAATGAGGGAAGAAGTGGCAGACCATACATGGCCATCATTTAGTATTGGTTGATTTAGAGGGGATAACCCAAGTGTACAACCAATTGGCTGGTATACAGTATGTATATATATATATTATATTCCTCTATTCTTCCCCAAAGGACATCGTTGCGGCAGACTCTGGTTCCTCCTGTTTACACCAAACCTCAGGGCGCCTGCAACAACCCACCAAACCTACTGGCCTAGACAGAACACCTCACATCAAGGACTAACTTACACAAGTCTGGAGCCAGATCAGACAGAAGATACAGCAATCAAGATATGAGCAGCTACACCGCCAAGCAAAGGGAGCTCTTCATCACACCGTCATGGGCTACGGCCATGCGGGCGTGGCTGGGTGCATTGGGCTGGTTGAGGCCCGAAACCGCTCGACAGTGTTCCAAAGAGCCTCTAGAACTGGAAATCGTTGCCGAGCTTTTGCTTTGGATGAATCATTGCCACCCCATGTGCACAGATTCTGTTGGCTCAGTGTTGCATCGTCCAAGGACTCCCGCTCTGCGGATGCAAGGAGAAGAATTGATCAGCGCTGGCAGATGTTGGACAAGCAGCTCTTCAAGAGGTTGGCAGATCTGAAAGGTTTAGCAAACACACAACTTTTCAAGTCAATCAGGAGAGCTAGCTCCACTGCTCAGCTGGAAATCACAAGGCTTCAGCAACAATGTAGAGTAGGGAAAGGTTCCTGCACTGATTGATATCATTTTTTGCGGACTCTGGGGAACCAAATATTGAGGCAAATGACATGTGGACTCTCTCTCAATTCTTCATAACAGCTGATTGACCTCTGCAATTTGGTGATTGGGAGGCTTGTCAAGCTCTCAATCATCCTTGGGGACAAAGGAAGTGGCTTGTCCTTGACAATCTTGGGAGGACATAGGCAAAGAACTTGTCTCCAGCAATAGATGCATTCTGTAATGATACGATGATTAATACTATTTGCAAGGTCTTGGTAGGAAGTGTACACACTGCCAGCAAAAAAACATGACACATCCAACGAATCATTCGACGCACCACAGATGGTCACGGAATTGTTTTGGTAGGCCACGTCTGGCTAAGGTGGTTGAGCCTGCGCCTGAAAAGCCCTTGAGGAGAAGCTGCAACGCTGTAGCAAGATACTGTAGCAAGTATTTGTTGATTATCGATTGTGAATGTGTTTTGAAGAGCAAGATGCATAAACACCCGTTGCCCTTTCCTTTTGAGTTCTTGATGTGTAGATGGCACACGTGTGTAGAGGGACTGGAAGGGACAGTATCCACTAGTCACAGTCATTGGGCCGCAGCATGTGGCACCCAGCGGTGCCTAGCAATTATCGTGCATGTGTGCATATGCACATGCAGCACAAGTTGAAAAAGAAACACGTTTCGTCGACCCGCAATTATCGAACAATTGCACTGCGCTCACACAACAATTACGACACAATGATACAGTGGGCTATCTGCGCTTGGAGTAGGTACATGCCATCACGTTCAAGACGATTCAAGCGGATAGTTTGCCAACAGGTTCCTTGTGTAGAATTCCGCTGCGGAAGGAAATCTCTTCTTGCGCTGCCAAGAAGAGACAGCGTTGCGAAACATGGGTATCGAGGTGTCCCAGAGACTACACCCAATGGTGCAGTTCTCATAAAAGACGAGCAGAGGCAGCATGGACATATGTTATATCTTATTAGTGCATTTGTTTTGCAGACAGACTTGTGGCAGCTCTGACTGACATCAGATGTTCACGTTGGACACATGTAGCTCCATGATCAAGTGGGAAGAGGTCTAAACGGTCTGAGGTGGGCAAGAGAAACCTGCGAGACGGCAGGAGGCGCCAGAACGGCGGTGATGATCTACTCATATTACTCAAATTTTGCTCTTACTGTTAGCTTGTTTTCGGTTCGCATAGCTTCATGCATTGAGCAAGGCACTTGCAAACAGTCCGTCCTGGGAAGGGACTGTTTGCGAATTTGCTCCTGCATTTACAAGACATGTTTGGATGAGAATACACTTGATCAGTCGCAGTAGCAGGCCTACACCCCTAGTAGAACTTGGACAGAGCACTACTGTAATTGTTTTCCTCACTGTGTCGCGACTGTCGTGCTTCAGGCGTCACGGTTTGGCCCGAACGGCCCGAACGCCACTGAAAAGAGGAAGCAAACGCCACAACAGCACAAGAATGAGAGACTGTAGCACTGTAGCAAGAATGAGAGAGTCTTGGTTTTTGCTCCACAATGTATCAACGCAGGAGAAACTTCAATATCAACAAGGAGTGATGCTGTGCCGGAAAGGTGTCATTATAAGCATGAAAGCCATTAGACTGAAGAGGTGAATCACCTGTATGTGCATGTTTTGTGGCAATTTTCGCATCGGGTTCCTGAGAGCCTCAGAGTCGTTGAAAACCCATGTTTTCATTTCCCAGGAGATTCTAGCGTGTCAGAACGCTGAAGAGATCCTTAAGCTTTGCGATGCCAAATTGCCGGAGTTTAATGAGATCAACGCAGCGACCCTACAGACGAAAGACATCATTTTTTGCTGATCATGCAGAATGATACAAAATACGGTATATTACGAAAGCCAGCCGATAGGCTAGGCTTGAGCTCTTAAAGTCTTAGACCGAACGAAGTGAGTAAAGGGGGTGTGGGGGGGGGTAGGCCGCGAAAAGGCACCATTTGAGAGGGTGAACCCAGAGCTTGCCTGGGGAGAGCGCTCCAGAAAAAGCAGTGAAAATGGGGTCTGGTGATGCGAGTGATGCAATGGACGCCGAGTAGTGCATCAGTAACATCACGAAGGGCTGTGAATGCTAGTTGGACAATGGGCATTGAGCACGGGAGTGGAGACAGGCACCCATGTACAGAGCAGCCATCCTAGTCTCTACTATACCTGTGCCGTCGACCGGATGCTTCTCGCGGCGTCCACGTGCACCGAACGTTGTTCCGGCTTGGCCGCGCAGCTAGATGGTACAGAATAGATAGATAGATCGATAGTAGATAGATAGATAGATAGATAGATAGATAGATAGATAGATAGTAGATAGATAGATAGATAGATAGATAGAGCTGGTTTGATAGATAGATAGTGGGGAAGCAGGGCAGTCTTGGCCGAAGCCGTGTCGCAGAGTGGCTGGTGCAGGAGTTTATCCACCAACCCTGGAAGTCCCATACTGACCTGTAAAATGCTTGGTTCAATAATGGCTGTGCAGTAACGGCTGTGCGGCTATGTTCACAGTGGTGGCTCGACTTTTCGGGTCAATACAGTCAATGCACGGTTTGGCCATTTGCTGTTGTTGAACCATGTAGCCGTTTCGAGCTTTGGAATCCTCGTTGCGCGCACTTGCGCAGGCAGCGAGATGGTTCTGGGAACTCCCTGCAAACGGTGAGACACGTCAGCGTGCACGCAAAGGTATGAGGAACCTAAAGCACGCCAAAACCTTGGACATCCTGCGCCCCATCTCTTGAGTCAAGCTCTCAAGGTTATAGTCACGGATCTATGCAATATTTTTGGATGACGGTTGGTGACACCAATGCTGAGGCATATAGTTCCTGCCATCCTCCTAGTCATCCTTTCAGAGAAGTCTGGTTGGATGTATTGGTGCTAGTATGGTAGTTGGTTGGCAGCGACAAATTGCTATCAGAAAAGGACCCCGTGTAGATAGCTACTTCTCTGTGTTTTTTGTCTCTGTGTTTTCTGTCTCTATGTCTCTATGGTTCTGTGTCTCCATTTCTCTGGGAAGAGAGGTGTAGCCGCGACTTATGGTTATATTTTGGGCGGATCAGTGGCATAAGCGCAAGTAAAGTCCCCAACAGCACGAAGCGCCACTGGGAAAGTCTCTTCGCTGTGCAAGCCCTCCTCTGGAGCCTTGTCTGCTTTCGAACCTGCTCCGGAACCTTCTCCAGAACCTCCTCATGGACCTGCCCCGCAACCTTCTCCCGAACCTTCTCTGGAACCTGCCCCGGAATCTTCTCCGGAAACTGCTCCGGAACCGTTTGCCGCACCTCCTCCAGATCCGCTGCGGAACCTCGTCCGGAAC